CTGCGGACGAGCTGGCGGGGGGTCGCGGCGGAGGAGGAGGAGGAGGAGGAGGAGAACTAGGAAGAGGAGGAGGAGGAAAAGGAGCTGGCAAGGAGGCATGAGACGAAGCCACGACGAGAGGACAGCATCGGGTGAGAATAGATCGAGGATCTCGGGGATCCGGCGGTTCCGGAGGTTGGCTCGGGCGCCGCGGCCTTCTCAGAGCGCTCCTGAACGGTGTGGGGGCGGTCCGGAAGGCTCTGGAACGGACGTTTCCTCGTCCTAGCCCCGTCCAGTCCAGGAGGGAGAGGGGGAGGAGGAGGAACGAGGAGGAGGAGGAGGAGGAGGGAAAGGAGGAGGAAGAAGAAGAGGAGGGAGACGAGGAGGAGGAGGAGAAGGAGGCGGTGGAGGGCGCGGCGGCCCCGAGGGGGGGCGGCCTGCGGGCACCAGTCACGGGGCGCAGCGGGGGCAGGGGTGGAAAACAGTGAATGGTGGCAATTGGCGCCTTGAGGTCCTGAAAGTCTGGGATGTGGAGGTACGTTGGCACCACTCCCCACGGCCGTCTTCGTTGGCCGAGGAACCGTAAGGAGAGCCTCGGCCGGCGCGCGGCATCACAGCAGGGAGCGACGCAACGCCCAGTGCACATGGCGCACAAGCGGGGCCCCTCGGGCGAGGGGGGCGGGCCCGAGCGGCCGTCCAAAATGGCGGCGTGGGGGAAGTGGGGGCGGGCCGCAGTGGCGGCGGCCGCCCTGGCGGGCCAGCGGGGGCTGCGGCACTGCCCTTCGGGCGGGGGCGGCGCGCGGGAGAGGGGGACAGAGCCGAGCACACTTTGGTGAACACGCCCTACCCGCGGGTGCAGGCCATCTCGAAAAGGCCAAACAAAAACGATGGCGAATTCGCAAATCGGCGCGGCAGGGCGGAATCTCAAAACCCGCTGTCGCCACGCACTTCCCCACGGTGGCTTCGCCGAAGATGCGGACGACTCAAACATATTTAAACTCCCACAAGGGATCAAAGCGCTCATAGTTGCAAACAGTGATGATCTGCCACGCATGCGCCCCGCGCATTGCCCCTCGGGTTTGGGGGGTGCTCGGGCCGCCAGACTCGCACGACCGAAATGGGTGGAGACAAACTGGGTACGATGCACAACAAACGCAATCCAAAACCGACGGAGGCCGCTATTGGGCAAGCGACCTTCCGTTTCAAATGAATAACGTCCGCGGCGACGCTGACAACGACCTCAGTTCAAACCCGGGCAGGAACTGCTGCCGGTTTCGGGCATCGGGGAGGAAATATACACACCTCTCGGGCCCTCACGGCCCCCTTTCGGAGCCCCCAAGGGTCTCTTTCGGGGGTCCTGTTCTGCAGCCCTCGCTGCCCCCCCCCAGTCATCGCCCCCCCGTTCGTCGACGCCAAACGGTGCGCGCGCCCATTCTCCCGGCACCTCGCCATCGCTCGAACGCCCCTTCCCCGTGCAATCCTCGGCGTCGTGCGTGAGCGATGCCAAGATATCGAGCAGGGACCGACCGTCGCGGCACTCCTAGGGGCCTACCCCGACATTGTCTTCAAACCCCAAAATGCTCGAATAACAAAAAGTGTTCGTATTTGAATAATCCCGATGTGCGAAATCAAGACAGCATCAGCCAGAAATGGTCGAATAACATTTCGCGCAGACCACCAAAGACTCTTGCAGCACTCTGGTGGGCCTATAGGCGAGCCAGGACGCCTCGCCCCAGCTTGAAACAAAGGCACACGCCCGACCGATGCCAAAGGTACTCCTCCCGAGCGCACCGAGCAGGCGGGCGGCACGACGCCCGGCGGGCCCGCCCCGGGAGGCGGCGCGGCGGGCCGAGGAAGAAAGGGGCGGCCGCGCACGAGCGAGGGGTAACGATGAGGGGGGGGAGAGAGAGAGAGAGGGGAAAGGGGGCAAGCTAGGTGCGCTCGCGTCATATCTGACGTCCTACCCCTCCCTCCCATCCCTTACCATGGCGCTGATTTTCTCTCTCCGCGGACGCGTGTCGTAGCGGACCTGTGGCTCCGCGCGCGCGTGCGTAGTGGGTGGTGGTGGTGCGCGTGCGTGCGTGTGTGTGCGTGGTGGTGGTGGTGGTGGTGGTAGTGCTGGTGCTGGTGCTGGTGCTGGTGCTCGTGCTGGTGGTGGTGCTGGTGCTGGTGGTGGTTGTGATGGTGGTGGTGGTGGTGGTGGTGGTGGTGGTGGTGGTGGTGGTGGTGGTGGTGGTGGTGGTGGTGGTGGTGGTGGTGGTGGTGGTGGTGGTGGTGGTGGTGGTGGTGCGGCGCGGTGGTGGCGGGCGGATGGGCGCGCGAGAAAGAGGCCCGCGCTGGGGCGAGAACGCCATCCTGAACGACGGAGGCCAAACACCGATCCGAAAATGAGGCCCACGCTGCAGCGGGAGCACGATTCGGAACGATTCGGGGGCAGAAATGAGGCCAGCGCCTCAGCGAGAGCATACTTATATATATATATATATAATAATAATAATAATAATAATAATAATAATTAATAATAATAATAATAATAATACTAATAATGATAATAATAATTATAATATATACATATATATATAAATGAAAAAAAAAAAAAAAAAAAAAAAAAAAAAAAAAAAAAAAAAAAAAAAAAAAAAAAAAAAAAAAAAAAAAAAAAAAAAAAAAAAAAAAAAAAAAAAAAAAAAAAAAACCGTTTCCCGGGTATCCTGTGTAAAAAAACAATACGCGGGGGGCGTTCGGCCCGAAAATGACGCCAGCGCCTCAGCGAGAGTCGTTTCCCGGGATTTCCCGGGCATCCTGTGTGTAAAAAACAATACGCGGAGAATGCGCGGCCATCACCCGGACGCCATCAGGGGAAGAGGGAGAGTATTTTCATATTGAGTAATTGTAGAGAGGGAGAGAGAAAGAGAGATAGAGAGAGAGAGAGAGAAAGAGAGAGAGAGAGAGGAAAACGCAGACAGCCGAAGGTCATCGTCACACGCGCCCCCTCGCGATGCTGCAAGACTTCACAGCCAGAGCGCACCCCGCCGAACGACGGGGGGGAACTCTGGCACAAGCAGGGGGCGCATCGGCCCGAGATCCGCCGACTCTGTCGGCGCGCGTGGGGGGCTTGGCCGTCCGATTCGTTTCCGTCTCCACGGGCCCGTCTCCGCTTCCCCCTATTTCCCCCTCCTCCTCCAGCTCGCTCCAGCGCGCCAGCCCAAACGAAATTGAGCAACGTCATATTTGAACCGAAGGGAAGCCCATTTTCTGAGCATCGGTCGGGCGCGTTGCTCAGGGCGGGATTCGCCACATTCCATTGCCCGGGGGGGCTGGAACGACGCCCCTGCGCGGATCGCCCCCGCCAAAGTTCCCCCGAAAGGGGTAAGTTGAGGCGGGGATTTTTCGCGCAGGCAGGTTCTGGATCGCCCGGGGGGGGCCCAGGACGGACCGACTCGCCCGGGGGGGGGGTCGGCCCGCGCAGTCGAGTTGCCAAGGGGGGTCTCGGCTGCTCATTTGTTCCCGCACGAATCGCCCGGGGGGGTCTCGCGCGGGAATCGCGAATCGCCCAGGGAGGTTTTACGGGGGCGAGGTAGCCCGGGATGGGGGGCTCCAGGGACAAGGACATTAAACGGCGCAAAGGACTCTTACGAATCATTTGCGGGAGGCCTGGAATCTCGCGATTTTTCCGCAGGAGGCCTGGACTCTCGCAAAGTCTTCGCGGAGGGCCTGGACTCTCGCGAATGTTTTGCCGGAGGCTCGGACCTCCGATTTTTTCGCGGGGGTCAAGACTCTCGCGAATTTTTCGCGGGAGGCCTGGATTCTCGCGAATTTGCTTCGGGGGAGTCGGATTCTCACGCATTTTTTGCCAGTGGGCTGGATCGCGAATTTTGCGCTGAAGGCCTGGGCCATTGCGATTTTTTCGCGCGAGACTCGGACCCTCGCGAATCTCCCGCGGAAGGCCCAGAAGATGAGGACGAGGAGGAGGTGGAGGAGGACGAGGAGGACGAGGAGGAGGAAGGGGGGGGGAGGAGGGAGAGGAGGAGGAGGCGGAGGAGGAGAAGGAGGAGGAGGAGGAGGGACACAAAGGAGAAGCGGAGAAGGAGGAGGAGGAGGAGGAGACTCATCGCGGATGTTTGAACGATATCTGGCGAGAGAAATTCGCGTTGTCGACGTCAGGGAGGACGAGGGCGATGACGACGACGACGACGACGACGACGATGACCAGGATGACGACGACGACCGCGACGCTAACCGCGACGCTAACCGCGACGCTAAACGCGACGGTGTTCGCCCAGCCTTGGCCTCGGCCTTGGCTCTGGCTCTGGCCGCGAGCCCGGGTTCGGCTGCAGCTTTGGCTCTGGTCTCGGCTCTGGTCTCAGCTCGGGCGTCGGCGTTCGGATCGTTCTGGGCGTCGGTTCGCCTGTGTCTTCGGGCTGGGGCGCGGAGCGCGCTGCGCGCCCAATAAGGCCCGCTACATGGGAAGAGCGATTGCGGCAGCGCCTGCGCGCAGAGCACGACGCAATGCGCGAAGTAATCGTCGACTGTTCTGCGTGGGAAGTAGCGGAGCGCGAGCAGAAATCGACGCGCAAAGCATGTCGCGCGTCATGTCGCAGGGCAAGACGCGCGCGGCGGGAAGCCGAGTGGACGCGACGGACAGAGGCGGCAGCCGAGCAGAACCTGCCGATCGCACACCGTGTGCTTCTCCCGTTGTGCCTCGGCCACTGCTGCGCGACGCGCCGCCTGGGCGAGCCCGGGCTGGCCGTCGCGCGCGGGGGGGAGATTGCAAGACCGAGCGATTGGGGAAGTTTCTCACCACTCGCGCGGCCCATGCTACCGATTCGGAGGAGCCGCTGGCGCGCGCCGCCTGCGCCGCCGCCGTGGCCTCGCCCAATGCTGCGTGGACCGTGGGCGACGCTGCCCTTCGCGCCGCGCGCGTTCTCGTCGCCCTCGGAGTGTTCCCGCCACAGACCGAGAGCAACGCGGCGATGACGAGGCGGATCGCGGCTGCGCGCTGGCGGCGTGAGAGGGACGCGTTC